TATGTAAATATATAGTCCACCGATTCGCCATGCTCCGATTTATATACTAGTAAAATTATATAGAAGAATAACTCTATAGTTTCATTAAAATAGCTTAAATGTGTTCCAAAACAAATCTCGCACATCTGTACATATGATTCCCAACTGGTTCTAACCTCCCCGGAACGAAGTGACTGCTGCCGACCAAGTCTCAGAAATGTGTTGTGATACAAAAGTTGCAAGTCATTGTTTATTAGTGTTCAAAGTTAGTAACTGATCATAGATACTTAGTGATCATAGATACTTAGTGATCATAGTTACTTAATGTTCATTGTTACTTGCTGGTCATAGATAATTACAGATCATAGTTATTTATTGATTATAGTTACTTGATGTTCATTGATACATGCTTATCATAGTTACTTACTGACCTTGATTAATTACTGATCATAGTTCTATAAATCGTCCGATTGTTCCTATTTCAGCTATATATATGTATATATATAGTCCACCGATTCGCCATGCTCCGATTTATATACAGTAAAATTATATATAAGAATAACTACATAGTTTCATTCAAATAGCTTAAATTTGTTCCAAAATAAATCTCGCACATCTGTACATATGATTCCCAACTGGTTCTCACCTCCCCGGAACGAAGTGATTGCTTCCAGCCAAGTCTCGGATATGTGTTGCGTTACAAAAGTTGCAAGTCATTGTTTATTAGTGTTAAAAGTTAGTAACTGATCATACATACTTACTGCTCATAAATTCTTAGTAATCTTAGTTACTTACTGGTTATAGATACTTACTATTCAGAGTTAATTACTGCTCATAGTTACTTATTGTTCATATTTATTAAAAAAATTTGTCAGAAAAGAGAAAGAATTCCCATTGGGACAAATCTCTTCAAACATAAATAAATCATACCAAATTCTGTGTTTAGTTTTGCATTAAATATTATGTTATTTTTTTTCTTTAAGCTTTCTTAAACAATAACTTTTCTCAGTCTTTGTCGATTTTGACTTTATTTGTTTAGTTGTTTAACTTAAAGGGTTAACTCTACCTACACAAAGACTTCTCTTTGTTACCGCACCAACTTGCAGTGCAGTGCCTGAAATTCCTGTATTTACCAAGCAGATTAACACCTTTTGCCAGTGGACAATGGCCCCAACCGATTCCAAATGGAATTACCGAAGCCAGAACAAAAGGCAGCAAATGCGGCCTCCGTTGGCCTCATAATCAAATGCAATGTGGCATTGGCTAAAAATGGAATTCTGCTGTCTGCACTTCATCAAGCGAAGAATAAGGCAAACGCTGGAGGAGAAGGGGAAGCCCTGAATGACTGACTGACAGCTGAAAAAGTCACCTCACAGTCCCCTGTCCCCTGCTCCCCTGCTCCCCTGTCCCCCAACAGAACTCGTTTCTCTCAGTGCAACATGCATTCCCCATGCCATACAAAACAATTGACATGCATTGTTGCTTTTGCTGTTGCTGCTGCTGGATCTTGGATCTCCTGGTTCCTGGCAGCCTCTCAACTGCAGAGCCTCGGAAATTGTCACAGCAACTTGTGCCGCTTGCAGTTTTCCAAAATGAAGGCGAAATAAGTGAAAAAATATATACAAAACTGGTTTTCGTGGTGGCACACACAGAAAGAACTTTTAAGAAGCATAAGGAAGTGTTTACCTTTTCAACAAATATTGTAACTATTTTTAATATAAGAAAACTTAGATACGAGTTAAAAGAGATACTTAGAGATCAAAATCTGATTTGCAGACACCTCTTTCAGTGGAAAATGTCCTATATTATAAGGACCGCATTATTCAGAACTAATTTGTATATATCTTCTACAATTTATAGTAATTTCCAGAAACTAACTAGAACATTTGTATCTTCTTTTAGAAATTGTTATATTCAACAGTATAGTTTTCCCCCTTAATATTTTCTCTCTGTACAAGTTTTCGCAATAAGGACACGAATAGAACTGGTTCTGGTGCCTTGGCCCTGCTCTTCATTTATCAATACTCGATCGGAGACCGAAAGTCCGGTTTCCCTGCCTCCTCCATGTGCATTTCATTTGATTTCTTTCCATTCGGACTGCAAACCATTCTCAGGCTGAGATATATAAATTAAGATCCATATCGGAAGGGAAACTGGAACTGCGATTGGTAAAGAAAGAAGCCAACGGCAGGTGGCATTTCGTATCGGTTTCTTGGATGGATATGTAGATATATTTTCCTGGATATGATTCCAGACCCAGAATTGTGATTTATATTCGAATAGTGTTAAACGTGGGCTTAACTTGTTTCTGGGATTTTTCTTTCTTTCGGTTCAAAACTTTCAATGGATTGTAATTTTTCTTGGAGAATTCTCCTTCTCGAAGGAAGTTGGCCCGCTGACTGCCCGCTGTTATTTATTGTATTCGTTTACCGGCATTTATTTTTTTCCTGGCTCTCAGCTCGCTTAATTTGCCTCTGTCTATCTCGGTCTAGCTGCTTTTAAGCCCGGCCTCTTGGGTTGTCAGCATGACATGACTTTTATGGTATAAAGTTATATTTCAGGCTCCCCAATCGTAGATAACTTCAAAGGCAGGCGATTTGTAAAGGCGCCATCTGGCGTTGGGAATGCGAATTCAATGGCTATAAATGTCGGGCCATCGATGGGTTAAGGATTTATGCTCAAGTTTCGAGCATAAAAACTGCACTATAATGCCGCCAGTTGGGTTAAGCACTCTGAAGCACGGAATAAGTACAGGAAGATGGAGAATTGATAATGGAATATTTATAAGGTGATTTAAATAATAAAAACATTATAAATTTATTGAATTTTATATGCGTGGAAGATAATTAGTTTAATTTTAAGGATAAAAAGGAAAAATCTTTATTTATTTTGCCATAAAGTAACCTAAAACACATTCCAAAACATACAGCTATTAAATTCTTAAAAATACATTTTAAAAAATTCCAAATCCTCTATATTTTAGACTACTTTCTCCTAAAAAAATTAAATTAAAAGTATTTAAAACTCAGTGAAGAATGGCAACTTGTCCTGTGGATCGATATTTATTGGTATTTTTAATATGACAAATTTTTCGACAAATCAAATTTTGCAAAACTCATAACTCAGCCAAAAATGCATTAAATTCAATTCGGAAAGCTGTTCTGTGCTGGTTTTTACAAGGTTAACAAATCTGCATACTTAGTTTAACATGTAAAAATTTTCAATTTTTCGCCAATTTTAATGATGTAACCCCTTATCGTTTTTTCAATTTTTGGCCAAATTTAAAAAAAAATTTTTTTCGTCCGAAGTAATCTAGATCGACGTAGTTTTTTGTGCTGATCAAGAATATATATGGTTTATAGGGTCGGAAATGACTCCTTCGATGTGTTTTAAGCTTCGACTGTAATGAGAATAGAATTTAAATGTGAGACAAAAAAATAAATCATACGCCATAAATTATTTTATTAAAAACAAAAATGGAAGCTAACTTTGGCACGCCGAAGTTTTAAATTCGATCACTAGGGAATAATTCAATATAAATTATATATATATTTATGTTCAAAAACAATAAAGTAGTGCCTGCGTTTATGAAATAGTAGTGCGATTTTCTTAAATTTTTATACAACATTCTAGATTAATATATAATGGCTATATATCAATTTTGATGAAAATCTGTTGAAAACTGGAAAATATAATATTATATTTTTCTTAAAATTCTCAGATCTTTCCTATAGCAGCTATATACATATATGTACATATGTATGTATGTAGTCCACCGATTCGCTATGATCAGACTTATAAACTAGTAAAATTATATAGAAGAATAACTCCATAGTTTCATTAAAATAGCTTAAATTTGTTCCAAAATAAATCTCGCACATCTGTGGATATGATTCCCAACTGGTTTTTAACCTCCCGGAACGAAGTGACTGCTTCCAGCCAAGTCTCGGATATGTGTTGTGTTACAAAAGTTGCAAGTCATTGTTTATTAGTGTTCAAAGTTAGTAACTGATCATACGTACTTAGTGGTCCGGAGTATGTTTTGCTATGCTGATCAGGAATATACATGGTTTTTAGGGTCGGTAATGACTTATTCAAATTTTTTTAATCTTCTTTCAAATACATATCTATAAAAATTCCTACTACTTCCCTCTTAAAAATAAAACTCAAATAAAAGAGAAATCAAGCGCATTAATTGAAAGTATTTGAAACTCAGTGAAGCATGTCAAATTGTCCTGTGGCAACAGCCTGGAAAAGCGCGACAAGTTGCCACAGAGTGAAAAAAACAAAAATTAACATGTTACCTAAGGAGGAGAAAAATATATATATCCAACGAGGGGCTAATCGATAATTTATGAGCGGAAATATGGCACGCCGAACGAATGATGGATTCATTAGGGGTATGAGGAATCAAAGGCGGGGGCGACTGCGGGACCGGAGACTAGGGACAGGTGTGAGTTGGAATATAGTAACATGTTTATAAATAACGCTAATGAGCAGCGAGCAGATCGGCGGGAACTAGGAGGGAGAAGGCACCTTCTCCTCATAAAATGCTTAAACAAGCGGCGCGGCACATTGACTTTGAACTGAAGAAGGGCTGTGACGGTGGTGTTGGTTATCAACGCTGCCGTTTCGAGGCTATCGCTGTGTAAATATTTACACTGAAAGAGGTACATGAAATGGTAAAATTAAACAATGTTTATCTCCCGTTACGGTTTGCCCTGTTTTATTTTGCCTCCCTGCAATCAACAATTATTCTTCACGTTTTCATATATTCCCTGCAATTCTTGACATTTTCCAAAGGGCATCAGGTTCACCTGAAAATTAGCTAAAAAGAAAGAAAAGCAACTATGTTGGTTGAATATATTTATTATTCAATCAGAGCACATTAAAGTAAAACATTTATCTTAAATGTAAAAAAAAATTAAACATGAAATGAGCTTCTAAACTTTGCTAAAAATAAATCCTATGTATAGTTAACTTTATTTAATTAAACTCTTCTCCCTCTCTTATCCTTTTAGGCGACATCCTGTCTGGAGTTTGCTTTGTGGGCCAACTGGACACCCACTCGCTGGGCGCCTTCCTCATCCTGCCGCTGTGCATCTATCTCTCGATCGGAGCTCTCTTCCTACTAGCCGGATTCATCTCGCTTTTCCGCATCCGGACTGTGATGAAGACGGATGGCAAAAGGACGGACAAGTTGGAGCGGTTGATGCTAAGGATTGGCTTCTTCTCCGGTTTGTTCATCCTGCCCGCCGTGGGATTGCTGGGTTGCCTGTTCTACGAGTATTATAACTTTGATGAGTGGATGATTCAGTGGCATAGAGATATATGCAAACCCTTTTCCATACCTTGTCCGGCGGCAAGGGCACCGGGATCGGCAGAGGCCCGGCCCATCTTCCAGATCTTCATGGTCAAGTACCTCTGCTCCATGCTGGTGGGGGTCACGTCCAGCGTGTGGCTGTACTCCAGCAAGACGATGGTCAGCTGGCGGAATTTCGTGGAGCGGCTGCAGGGCAAGGAGCCCCGGACACGGGCGCAGGCGTATGTCTAGTATGAGACGGGTCCGGCCAAGTCCGCGCCCATAACCCCCGATCCTGATCCGGAGGCGGCCAAGGAGAGTTACTTAGAGTTTAGCACATAAACCATAGAGACCACACCATACACACTCTCACCCAAAACAAACCCCAAAAGCAGTCGTAGTTCTTAGTGGCTTTGTATAAAGTTTGTAATCTTTTTTGTTTTTCCTCAAAGAAAGAAAGAGAAAAGGACCGGAAGAAAATCAAAAGTTGACCCTAGGCTATTGTTTAAACCTTGAGATATAATTATTAGTTGATACGGAAGCAAGCTTGTTGAACCAAAACTATGCATATAAGTTGAGACTCTAGCCGTAAGTCATTTGCTTTCGTCGTATACGAACTAGTATCACCTTCGACCATCCATCAGTTTTATTCTTTGACGCGACTCGTATGTTAGGTTCTGATTTTTTGAAAGCTTTAAATGTGCCCTAAAATTAATGGATATAGAGTGTAGCGTAGATATTACGATTACGATTACATGAGTGTTAGGCGGTAAACAGGACGTCACAGGACACAGTTCACTTCCCACAAGAAAACACAACTATAATTGCTTAACTGCAGCTATGTACATGTATAAACGAGAAAAGGAAACCATAAACTATTTAAATGTATTATGTAGCAATAAATGTCCTCCATGTGCTAAACTTAATGCAAATACGATTATTATAATTATAACTGTAACTCTTAACTGTAACTGTAATTCTAACTGTAATTGTATATTTGTTGAACTAATTAATTCTAAACGCGTATGGAAATAATTTGTAATTCAATTTTTTAAATGACGTTGTAGTCATAGCACCTAAGTGAACAAAAGCAAAGCAAAAAAAAAAAAACTATATGCAAACATTTTGTTGCCACTTTATGGAAATTTTTTCCCTCACCCAACCCCACCTCTGTCTCTCTCCACCCTCCTCACTAAATAATAGTTAAAGAGTTGAAACTGCCATTTAAATATTTGTAGACACGTGAAAAATCACCGAAGAACTGTTGAGCATTTGTTTTCAGCGCATTTAATTGACTCCTCGAATTAAATTGGCCCCAGTAATATACACATGTGAAATTAATGTCCAAGCCAGATTTGTGTAGCATTTAAGCCGATGGGAATGCATATTAATTATATAGCAACTATTGATAGTCGGTGTAACATAGCGAGTGCCCCGCGGCAAGCGAAACAATTATATAAGTGTATAAATTCAGCGTAAAACATTAAGAGCTTCAATGGAAGCATCCACACACTCACACACACGACTCACAACAAAACGAAAAATGCAAAAATAAAACTTTATTTTATTGTTAAAGACTGAAAAAAATATAAGCAGTGTTTTTATTTCCCTTGGGGAACTTGCAATAAATAGAAATTATCTTTATGACTACTGAAGAATTCTCCAAGGAATTTTCAATATTTTTTCACTGGGTAAAAATGTTGGTCTTTTATTTCTAATGAATATATAGTATTTTCCCCAGGCAACAATCTCTTTGGAATTTTTAAAAATAATTGAAAAGCAACTGAATAACTATAGAAAACCTCTGTTAACCGCTGCCCTCACACCTTTTTTTCGTGACTGTAAAAAAAACTCTACTCTCTTCACACCTCCCCTTTTGGCAAGCCCAAAACTTTTCCCATTAAATCCCACTACACATGTAAACGGACAGACATACTATGGCCACGAAAGCAGCTAGAAATTCAATCATAACTTGGCCAACACCCGCTGGCCAAGTCCCAACAAAACACTTGGTACACACATGGCCGTAAGCCTTGAAAATTTACGAGTGCCAACGAGAAATCCACGCCCATATAATTTTGATTACACTTGTTTTCTAAATACTCTCGCCCCGGAAAAACCGCACAAAAAGACATCAAAAATGTTCGAGGGAAAAAGGAAAACGCACGCAGACACACACGAAAAACAAAAAGCATTCGAAGCACATGTGTGCGGTGAAAAGGCCGAAATAAAATCCAGACCGAAACTGTACTTACGGGGGAAAAGCGCTGCAGATGCACAGGAAAAATAATTAGTTTTCATTTCATTATTATAAATTATTCAATAATTTTGTTAAATGATAATCAAATAATTTAGGAAACTAAATTGAACATAACTCAGCCAAAATTGCATTAAATTCAATTCGGAAAGCTGTTCTGTGCTAGTTTTTACAAGGTTAACAAATCTGCATACTTAGTTTAACATGTGAAAATTTTCAATTTTTTACCAATTTTTGCAAATTTTTAATAATGTAACCCCTTATGTTTTTTCAAATTTTTTGCCAAATTTTGAAAAAATTGTTTCTCACCCAGAGTACTCTAGATCGACGCAGTTTTTTGTGCTGATCAAGAATATATATGGTTTATAGGGTCGGAAATGACTCCTTCGATGTGTTTTAAGTTTCTGACTGAAAAGAGAACACCCTGTTTTGGGTATTAAAACGTATTGATTTTTTGATTTAAATTAGATTTCCAGGTTTCTAATTAAGTAAACCGTTTTGCTATTGTCCACTTATTTTTTGCCAGTGTGTCCTTTAGTCAGTCGCTAAGCTCCTTGGCAACAAATTGCAGTTAAAAAAGTGGTTGGGGAAAATCACTCTAGCTCGCTCTCACTATACGCAGAGGGACATGTATTAAAGGATATGAAGGATATGGCAATGTTTTACAAAACACGTGTGCGATTTAACAACTACAACGGCCACACAGAAAACTTTTCAGCAGCGCACACACGTCGCTAAAAAAAAAGGAAAACCAGAGGAGGAAACTGCACACGAAAATGGAATCCAATGTTCGGCGGTGAGTTTTGTTGCGTTTTTATGCGACCGCCATAAAAAAGTTATTAATGTGTGGGTTTTCAGGAATACGAGTGGGTACGGTAGAGAGAACTCGGGGAAAGTGGGAAAGTAGGGAAAGTGGGAAAGCCGGCTGCACACGGCCACAAAATGGCGCGGGCGTGTGCAGGCGTTAATGTGGCAAAAAATGTTTCTGAGCCAGGACTATTGTTCTGAAACATAGACGAAGTTGAAAACACTCTATCATGTTTATAAAATTCAATCAATATTAGTTAATAATAATTTAGAATTTTTTCAGTCATATAAATTATAGTTTATTTATTTTCTTGTAATGTTAATTTTATTAATGTTATTTTATTTTGTAAAGCTAATAATAGAAATACCAAGCTATATCACTCTTTATTCCCTTAAAACTCACACTTATTTCAATTAAATATACATTATTTCAATGTTTGCAATCATTAAACCTTTTTCTTGCAGATATTAAGAAGGGTATTCCATTCATCGTTACAACTCTCCTCTGAAACTTCCTACAACTTTTATTATTTGCAGTGCAGTTTGCTTGCCGCTGAATGCGGGCGTGAAAATCATAAAGCAAAACATATGAGTAGATGTGAAGTTACTAAAAAAACCATAAACAACGGAAAGGAACTCTGGGCCTGGAGCAGAAATAAATGCCACGAAGAGGACACTGGCACCGAGGACCGTCGAAATGCGATATATTCGTGCGGCTGCACGTCCTGAATTTGAGGGATTTCCAAATGGAAGCGGATTTGGTTTTGAACCGACATGTCAGCCCTGCAGCCACTACATATTGGTGGCTTCTCATCTTTCATAAAAGTGGGAATTAATCAAGAGAGCCTGAGCTGAGCTGGTAACATCATTTTTGTAATGGGTTTCCGCCACTCCAAGCCGAAGAGACTTTAAAAATCTGGAATTTGTAGCGATCTATTAAATGTAATTTCACTGGAACATATGAACAATTGCCTGTAGAATTTTCAAGAGGTTTAATAGAAATTCAGATGGGAAGGAAGACCTTTGCCAGATGTGAAATATATATATGATAATGAGTTCTAAATATTATTAGACAACTTTGCAGCAACCAGTAAAAATAACCACCTTTTAAAGCAAACCAAATAAGGTTTCAATTAATTAATTGCCAAAATCGATGCGACACAATTGAGAGCGAGAAAAAAACTTGTCCCGAACGGAAGCCGCTTTGTGCGCGCCTGGGGGAGTTTGCAATTTAATTGCCATTTTCAATTAGGTAACTGCACAAATGGACCAACAAAGAATTTACTGCACTGCGCTGTGTAGTTTACTTAATTAATGTTCTACAGACGGAGGACTTAGGGGATTCGTCCCCCAACAAGGGAGACACTAAAAATAGCCCCAAAAAGTGGGCAATGGAAAATGGTTCGACAGGGAAAACTACTGCAATCGGATTAAATAAACTTAGCAGTGCAAACGAAGGCAAGATGCCAAAGTAAGACATTAAAATGAATATGGTATCAAAGACAAAATGATTTAAAGAATTTTATGAAGAGCATAAAAGACTAATTAACACAAAAAGAAGATAGTACGTTAAGGATGTTTAATACTAAGAATTAAATTAAAACAAGAAAATATGTTTGAAGTGAACTAATTCCTTGCAAACGAAAAAAAAAACTCAGAATTTTAAAAATATCATAACTCGGAATGTTTTTGGTATAAAAAAAAATAGATGGGAACAGACATTCCGAAGTCTCTTGTTTTGATGAGAAATTTGGTGATAAACTAAGTATGCAGATTTGTTAACCTTGTAAAAACTAGCACAGAACAGCTTTCCGAATTGAATTTAATGCATTTTTGGCTGAATCCATTGAATTTATATTGGTTTTCGGATTGAATTTATCTATAAAATACTTCTGCATTACAAAATACTGCAATTAAATAAAATAATGAATAAAAGAATAATACAATTAATACGGAAGAGATATCAAATTTCTAATTAAAACAAGAGTATTATTATTTGGACTTCGGAATGTCTGTTCCCATTTATTTTTTTATAGCAAAAATAGGGTATTGCATCTCAGTCTGAAGCTTAAAACACATCGAAGGAGTCATTTCCGACCCTATAAACCATATATTTTCTTGATCAGCACAAAAAACTGCGTCGATCTAGATTACTCCGGACGAAAAAATTTTTTTTAAAAATTTGGCCAAAAATTGAAAAAACGATAAGGGGTTACATCATTAAAATTGGCAAAAAATTGAAAATTTTACATGTTAAACTAAGTATGCAGATTTGTTAACCTTGTAAAAACTAGCACAGAACAGCTTTCCGAATTGAATTTAATGCATTTTTGGCTGAGTTATGAGTTTTGTAAAATTTGATTTGTCGAAAAATTTGTCATTTTTTAAAATATTAATAAGAATCCATTGAATTTATATTGGTTTTCGGATTGAATTTATCTATAAAATACTTCTGCATTACAAAATACTGCAATTAAATAAAATAATGAATAAAAGAATAATACAATTAATACGGAAGAGATATCAAATTTCTAATTAAAACAAGAGTATTATTATTTGGACTTCGGAATGTCTGTTCCCATTTATTTTTTTATAGCAAAAATAGGGTATTGCATCTCAGTCTGAAGCTTAAAACACATCGAAGGAGTCATTTCCGACCCTATAAACCATATATATTCTTGATCAGCACAAAAAACTGCGTCGATCTAGATTACTCCGGACGAAAAAATTTTTTTTAAAAATTTGGCCAAAAATTGAAAAAACGATAAGGGGTTACATCATTAAAATTGGCAAAAAATTGAAAATTTTTACATGTTAAACTAAGTATGCAGATTTGTTAACCTTGTAAAAACTAGAACAGAACAGCTTTCCGAATTGAATTTAATGCATTTTTGGCTGAGTTATGAGTTTTGTAAAATTTGATTTGTCGAAAAATTTGTCATTTTTTAAATATTAATAAGAATCCATTGAATTTATATTGGTTTTCGGATTGAATTTATCTATAAAATACTTCTGCATTACAAAATACTGCAATAAAATAAAATAATGAATAAAAGAATAATACAATTAATACGGAAGAGATATCAAATTTCTAATTAAAACAAGAGTATTATTATTTGGACTTCGGAATGTCTGTTCCCATTTATTTTTTTATAGCAAAAATAGGGTATTGCATCTCAGTCTGAAGCTTAAAACACATCGAAGGAGTCATTTCCGACCCTATAAACCATATATTTTCTTGATCAGCACAAAAAACTGCGTCGATCTAGATTACTCCGGACGAAAAAATTTTTTTTAAAAATTTGGCCAAAAATTGAAAAAACGATAAGGGGTTACATCATTAAAATTGGCAAAAAATTGAAAATTTTTACATGTTAAACTAAGTATGCAGATTTGTTAACCTTGTAAAAACTAGCACAGAACAGCTTTTCGAATTGAATTTAATGCATTTTTGGCTGAGTTATGAGTTTTGTAAA